TTGAAAGTTCACATGAAATATTTCACGTTTTGAGAATTCACCTTTCACGGTTAACGTTCGTCTCACTTATTAAATTTACTCATATTATATTATTATATTATATTATAACTATAAATTTACGTTGTATAATGCTTATTAATGTGTTATATATTACATTGTGTATACTGTAATTACATTTTAATTTTAATAATATATATTACATAAATATTGCTTTCCACATTTTCATTGTTCACTTTTCATGTGAAATAACTTACAGTGAAAAGTGAAAAATGAAAATAAAATTCACGTGAAAGATTCATGATCGCTAACCTGGGGGTCGATTGTGTATTTCAAAACAGAGTGAAAATGACAAAAGTGAGAAAATTTACTAGAATATTTGTAACTTCATTGGTCAATGCCTAGTGAATTTATTCACTTTTGTAATTTTTACTTCGTTTCGAGATACACAATCGACCCCCTGAACTACTTGCACTGGTACAGTAACTTTTACCCTTGCACTGCACTACACTGCTTGCATTAGCTTCAGACTCAGTGCAAGTAGTTCAGTGAACTGTTGCACTAATGGCTCCTGCACACAGGACGCGGTAATGCTTGCTGCACGGCGGCAAGTTCGCGCGACAGTCAATCAATATGCTACTTTCCGTAATAACCTTCTAGCTCGTACGGAAAAACAACATATTGATTGGCTGCCGCGCGGACTTCCGCCGCGCGGCAAGCATTACCGCGTCCTGTGTGCAGAAGCCATAAGTTCTGCTGCACCGTTGAAAAGAACAGTAACCTCTGACATTACTTTTGCTAGAAAGAACGCACCAGTGTACACTTCTTGAACTAGTGCAAGAAGTTCAGCTGGAAAGAACAAACCTCTAATTTCAGTGAGCGGGCTTGACTGTTTCTAGACTTCTCTTTGATACTAATTTTCCCAACAATGTTCTAACAACAAAATCATTTTATTGAAAGATGATATCACTAAGGTGTTTTATATTAGCTCAGTTACAAAGAAGCAGCTTACTGACTACAACGTTTGTGCACAGGTATAATACTTATGTTTTCTTATACTTTGATCATGTTTTCTTTCTATTATCTACTACCTAATAATAATAATCCAATGATAGTATAATTTTGTTGAACTATATTTAATTTCATTTTTTATTAGGTCTATAGCTTACGAAGCTATAGATAGCTTACGAAGAAGCGGCTTACTGACTGCAACATTTGTACACAGGTATAATATTTATGTTTTCTTATAGCAAATTCGGTCACCTGCATTACATTGGGTCAGTGCATATTGAAGACTGTTACATATGAAATAATTATTTAAATAAAGAATATTAATATTTTGAATTATTAAATACCTAATAATGATATTACATTAATTAGTAGAATATACATTAATTGTTTCTATATCAAAATTTTGTTATGCTATTATATTTTGATATTTTATGTGTAACACTGATCTTTAGTGTGCACTGATCCGGATGTAGTGCGGATGATCAAATTCACTATTATTTATGCTTTGATCATGTTTTCTTTCTATTATCTATTACCTAATAATAATAATCCAATAATAGTATAATTTTGTTGAACTACGTTTAATTTTATCTTTTATTATTAGATCTATAGCTCCTGGTAACACAAATTGTATTCAGTCATTTAGGGGTAAGAAAGATAGTAATTCAAATTCACCAGCTTCCTTATTCCAACCTGTGCCTATCAAGCCAAACCCAGATGATATAAATATAGGTGTTGAATTGACTGGAGTTCTGAAGAAAACAGATCTTCTGAAAATATTAAATTCATTTGTACAGAAGACAGAAATCAAGGAACTAGCTCAACAATATGGATTGGATAGTATGTTTAGAATTAATGATATATAAATACTGATTGTTATACTGATTATGATACCTATTTTAGATTTCCTTCAGGGACAGGCTTTTGCAAATTTTAGGCAGTATTGTTTAAAAACAGAAACATTACCTGTGGATCTCCATATAGTATTAAGTGATATCCTTCAAGATGCTGGAAATGTTACAGATATTTTTCCATATTTCTTACGCCATGCTAAACAGATGTTTCCGCATATCGATTGTTTAGATGATCTTAAAAAGATTAGTGATCTACGATGTCCTGCTAACTGGTAAGATACTTTATATTTATATAATGAGAGTTATATAAAATTATTTGTTATATATATATATATGTGTGTGTGCGCGCGTGCGTGCGTGCGTGTGTGTGTGTGTGTGTGTAAATAACTTATTTTAATTTAATATGCATGAACAATATTTTTGACAAAACTGATTTTATTATTAATTGCTTCAGGTATTCTTTAGCAAGAGCAAAAAATAGGAAAATAATCTTTCATGCTGGACCAACAAACAGTGGAAAGACTTATCATGCTCTAGAAAGATTTATCAATTCAAGAAGTGGAGTATATTGTGGACCGTTAAGGTTATTGGTTACGGAAGTGTTTCACAAATGTAATCAGAGTGTTGGTATCAATTACATATTACTTAATTATATTTATTGTATATAATACATTGTGTTATAGTTACGTATTTTATTTTTCACAGGGGACACCATGTGATTTATTAACTGGGGAAGAACGGACATATGCTAAAGGATTCGATAGTCCGTCAAACCATTTATCTTGCTCTGTAGAAATGGCGAATTTACAAAATAATTGTAAGTATAATTTTATTTATCTCATAATCTGCAGCATTCATTTACGAAAGTTGCATTGGTATAAATTATGGTCAATTATAGATGAAGTAGCTGTAATTGATGAAATTCAATTAATTCGTGATCTTAACAGAGGCTGGGCATGGACGAGAGCCCTTTTAGGAATACCTGCGAATGAAATACATTTATGTGGTGAAGCTGCTGCTATAGATTTGGTACATCCTTTTCATTAATATGTTCTATGTTGTGAATAATTATTGGCACACATACATTCTTATAATTACAAATTATATACAGGGTGAGGCATTTTAAGTTGAGACGCATAAATATATAAAAAATAAAGCAAAATGAAATGTTTTAGACAAAAATTATAGGGTTTCAAAGAGAACGTATTGCTATTGGTTTGATCTTTGGATGAAGTGACATAATAAAATGAAAGTTTCAATTTCATATTTTTTAATAGAATTTTAATCTAATTTTTTAAACATCTATGTTTCTAGTCTTTTTCATAATTAATTCAATGACCATACATTCAAGATCATCAGTAGTCAAATGACGGAAACAGTTTAAATCATTAAATGAAGATAATTTTCAATTTATTTGTATTTATTTTATTAAATGCTTGAAAAGATGACCATAAACTTCGACACACTTTTGAATACATTAAGTAAAAGATTGATAAACATTTAACAAAGTATTTCAATAGATATGACAAGCATTTCTTTCTAATGCATACTTTCATATCTTCTGGCATAGTTAATACATCTGGTATATACATTTTTTTTTCGTTCTTTATTTTAAGAAATCCTCAGAAAAATATCTGAAGATATTAAGGTTGGTGAACGGGCAGGTCAGGAATTACTTTTCCTTGTCCTATTCACCTATTATTATAATATTTAATATTTATCGAGCTTAATGCGCGCGCGTGCGTGCGTGCGTGCGTGCGTGCGTGCGTGCGTGCGTTTGAAAATCATTGTCATATAGTTGTTGATGTAATGAGACGTGATACGGGTGGAATTTATGACGTTTAAGTATTCATACAAAACACTTCTAGATATTCCAATAGCAAGAAATACTACGAAAACTTATTTGTGGATCATGATCATCTACTACTGCTAATATGACAATTTTATTATTCTCATCAGTGACAATCTTTTGCTGTTTTCTTTTTTCTTCATGACCGTTTCCTAAAACTTTTTTTCATAACTCGGTAAAATAAAGAACGTAATAGAATATTTTTACAGGATATTGTTCGGTATACAAAGTAGATGCTTCATAAATGTTTCTTCGAGCTTTATCATAATTGAAAATCATATCAATTTTCCTTAATTTTAGCTAAGTAAACTGTACTTAAATGATACACAACAACAAAATGACTAGTACTTACTTTCATATTGCACATTTGATTTTCAGTGAGCAACTAAATTACTATTACGTTACAGGCTAGAAATCGTAAGTTGTGTTAATGTTTACACCACACTTCTTCTAGTTAGCAACATAAAAATCATTCTGTTTATATTGTTCGTTGAAAATTAAATTTATAATAGAGTGTCGTAGTATATTAGTCATTTCGTTCTTTTATACAGAGTAGCCCATATAACTCTTAATAACTCGATATCTTGGAAACTATTTCGATTTTAATGATTTAAGTCTTAAATTGTGTGGATCTGAAGGAACTGGAATGGAAATTGATTCCCCAATCTGTTGCGTGGGTGGAATGAAGGTTAACTTAAAAATTTTTTATAGAAATGCCTATGAAAAATTATATTTTTGAATTCTTTGAATAAAAACAATTTAATTTTATTCGAAACATTTTTTTGTCAGATGGTTCTATTAAAAAAATATTACGGTTTTTTCGACTTCGAAAAAAATGTTTTATATTAAGTTGTTTTTGAACTAAGTTGTTAGAATTAAGTTGTTAGAACTAAGTTGTTTTTGTCCAAAGAATTCAAAAATATTATTTTTCATAGGCATTTCCATTAAAAATTTAAAAATTTTTAAAACTTTAAAAAAATTTTTAAGTTAACGCCCGTTTTACTCACGCAACATCAGTTGGGAGACCAACCTCCATTTCAGTTTAAAGATCCTTCAGATCCATACAATTCAAGACTTAACTCATTAAAATCGATGAAATAGTTTTCAAGATATTGAATTATTAAGAATTATGTGAGCTACTCTGTATATCACTTTTGTATCCCGAAGAAAATATGCATCAAATTCTTTGTTTTAAGTTATCAAAAATTTTTAAAATATCGAAATGTTTATGGACTATATTTCAATCATTTTTCATTTAGGGTCGGTTTCACCAATTCCGGTTAAGCTAAGCGAGGGTTAAAAGTAGCAGAGTAGCCAACTTAAATGCGACGTGCTATAAACAGTGTCATACTGAATCTCAATGAGCAATTTATATTTAATCTCGATATTGGCACTTCTGGTAGTTAGAATTTAACCATAGGTTGGTTTAACCAGAGTTGGTGAAACCGGCTCTTAACATATTCAAAAGTTTATCGATTGTCATCTTTTCGAACATCTAATAAAATAAATGCAAATAAATTGAGAAGTACCTTTATTTAATTATTTAAATGAAGATACTTTGTTTTCCGTCATTTGATCTTCAATACTCTTGTGTGTAGTTTTTGAATTTGTCATAAAAAGTGCTATAAACGTAGGTGTTTAAAAAATTAATCTTATTAAAAAGTATGAAGTTAAATATTAAGTTAATCTTTATTTCATCATGAACTTCATGTGAAGGTTAGACTAATAGCACCACAATACGTTTCCTTTAAAATCCAACAATTTTTGTCTGAAACATTTTTTTTTATTTTGCTTTATTTTTCATATGTTTAGGCTCAATTTGAATGCCCTATCCTGTGCATATGCAAGGTGAGGCAATAACTATTACCACCTTAAATATTTTTTAATCCATGTAGTATAAAGGAAAATTTGTGTAACCAAATAGCATAGTACAAAGAGGGCTATAATATGGCGATAATGATTTTTGTTCAGGTGGAGGCACTTTAGAGATATCAAGGTCACCTTCATTTTTTTAAATGGAATCGATATATTTTGTTTCCATCATATGATAGAAGGGCTCAAAACAAGTTCAAAACATATGACACAAGATTATTGAGCTAAATTAAAAGTAAAGAAACGATAAAAAATATTTTCATATAAGTGAATCTTATGTTTATAAAAGATGTTCGAAATGATGACTATCATTATTAATGCAACATTGGATTTTTCTGATTATTGATTGACTTGCTCTTCTAATAACGTCGGGAGTTATTGACACTCAGGCTGCAATAATCCGTTCTTGTCTTGAGGTGTAGTTGGTTCGGTTTTATAGACCATGTCCCTTAGGACCATGTTCCCCATAAAAAAATATCCAGTGGTGTCAAGTCTGGTTAATGAGGTAGCCCCCTTGTTAATAATACAGGACTCCCACGTCCAATCCAGCGATTTGCAAATATTTCATTGAGTTTATTTCTCACAAACAATAAAAAATGAGCCGGGCATCCAGCTGGTATTACATTGTTTGTCGTATGATTAAAGGCAAGTTCTAAAGACTCAATAAATGCTCAAGAAAATTAACGTAGCTGTTGCCATTTAAATGTCCGTTGATGAAATAAGGACCAATAATTTTGTCATATATTATACCGCACCATACATTCAAAGACCATTGCCTCTGATGTTCAACTTGTCGCAGCCAATTTCCGTTGCTCAGAAATGTATGTTATGCAAATTAACATTCCCGTGATTAGTAAATATTGCCTCATCAGTAAATAACACAGTATCAAAAAATGAATTATTGTTTTGAATTTGATGTTGAGTCCATTGACAAAATGTAATTCTCTTCACAAAATCCATTCCATGTAATTCTTGATGAAGGCTAATGTGATTTGGATGGAATATGTGACGATATAAAATGCAAAGTACGCTCATCTGACTAACACCAGATTCTTCTTCAATTTGTCGTGAACTAATTTGAGGATTTCGAGTCACTATTGCAAGAATATTAATTTCATTTCCTTCATGTGTTACTTCTTTTTCGCGTTCACTTTTTTAGATATGTAAGCTACCAGTTTGTCTAAGTTTATTATAGATTTTTAAATGTTTGACGCGAAGGCTGAATACGATCAGGATACCGTTCAGTGTACAAAGTTTTCTTTCGCACAGGATTTTGTTGACATTCTTCAGACAGGATCATATTAACTTGTTCTTCAAATGGATACATTTTGCACGATGTATTGCTCTATCGATACTAATCTGTTCATGTTCATGATATCCTGTAAACATATTAAGATGTTCTTCAAAATTTTTGTTTTCTTTCCTTGAAGTATCTACCTTTATTGAGATGGTGTCATTTCAATGGAGAATAAACACTGTTAAAAGACATCTTAGCATTTCTCATTTTAGCAAGTTCTCAGGACAAACTAATAATAAAATAAAATAAAAATCAAATGAAAATCAGTCAATCGTATCCGGATACGTTGTATCCGTATTTTTTTTTATCGCTTTTTTACTTTTAATCTTATTCAATGATCTTGTGTTATATGTTTTAAACTTGTTTTAAACCTTTCTATTATATGATGGAAACAAAACATATCAATTCCATTTAAAAAATGAAGGTGACTGATATCTTTGAAGTGCCTCCACCTGGACAGAAGTTATTATTGCCATTTGTAACGGCCTTGCGTTACGTGCGGGATAGTCTTAGCCGGTGTGGTCTGGGTTTCGTGTGTGAAATGAAAACCAGTGGTATAGGTGATAATAATTTGAAACTATATTCTAATCTCAAAGCTATTTACAATTATTTACAGGCGACGTTACGCCGTTGGCGCGTGGTCGCGTTTTTGCTCTCGTCGGGAGCCGTTGTTGTCGTCTCGCGATCAGCTGCGAGCGTCGAGGCGTGCGAGCGTCAGGCGGGACGCGGTCGGAATTGTTTCCGGATACGCTATTGTTCGTCGTTCGGAGTCCGTGGCCTCATCGGCTTTAATCTATTTATTTATCCTGGTGTTCCTTGCTGGTTTAAAGGCGCTCGTTGTCACCGTTATTTTACGCTCTGTATGCGTTCGCGATCGTAGGTGTTAGCGGCGTAGCGTGAGGAGGAAAAGGATGCCGACGTCGCGTATCCACTTCGGTCGACGGAGCGAGGTATGGATAGGAAACCGACGTCGCGTATCCACCTCGGTCGGTAGAGCGGTATCGGAGAAGG